TTTTTTTCTGATTATGAAAAACTCAGTTATCCCTTTATCTTGTTTGCCTTTTTTTTCCCCCAGAGTTAATCTTTAAACAGCTAGGTGAAACTTGAATGTTTGCCTAGTATCTATGAGAAATCAAAAGCTGATCCTAATGCATGTTTAAAAAAAAATAATAATCCTCTAAATCTGAGTAAGTCCTGACTGAGCTTGTAACTAAATCTGAAACGACAAACGTTTGAGGGTTTTGTCTTGTAGAAACACTGCTCAGGTCTGAACAGAATGGCAAATCTGGTATGCAAGGTTGTACTGTATTGGAACTAGTTTTGAATGTGTCTTATCCGGTCTGTCCAGTGGCTATCACGAGATAACTGACCATAGGAACTTCTAATGTTTACCTTTCCAGTATATTCTGCAGCTCATTCTCATAGACATTTTAAAATTGCCTGGGAAAGCACAGACAGAATGCTACTGTTATCAAGCTGATCTTTAGAACCTGCCAACTTTGAAATGCATGCTTGTTTGTTTAAGAATATGTGAAAGCAAGCCAAAGAAAATGAAAATAATTTGTGTCCTTTTCTCCCTATCTCCCTGAATCCACATATATTTTGGGAAAGAAGTTTACTCGAGTCATGCTGTATCTTAAAGGGGTTTTTTGTACTGTTTCTGGTGTTCTAGTTGAATGGAGATTCTCAGGCAAAGGTTCAGAGGATCCTGCGACTGATTTCTGGTGGTGGTCTGTCCATAACTGGATCACACATCCTATGTGGAGACTTCCTGTTCAGTGGTCACACCGTGGTATTAACGCTGATCTACCTGTTCATCAAAGAGTGTAAGCATTTCCGTGCACTTCTCTTGTTCAAATAGTGTTTACTGGTTGGTTGAAGCAAGCTAGCTTTTCATTATTCATTGACAGGCTATTCCAATTTGGGGTAAAACATACTGTAGTTAATTATGCAGATCAGCTTTGTGCAGGTTGGCTGATATACCTTAGATGTTAAGGGATTATTTTCTCTTTTTTTGTGGCTTGAGCACAGCGCCATCGCACGCTTGTGCTACATCCAGAAGCAATGTCATTTCTTTTAAGTGTGCTGTACGTGAATTATTCCAAACAATGGGAAGTTGAATCGTGCTCCGGGGATGTCTTCTGCTAGAGTCTTCTACTTATGCCTGTTGAAGTTGGTGAGAATTTAGCAGACACTCAGAAGATACAGTTGGGGTTATGTTTTCCCCCTTTGCTTTACATTGTTATGGGGTGTGGGGGCAAAACCTATCTGTGCGGTGCACACAGAGCATTGATTGAAATTTTGGAGAACTGAGCACCAACTTCTAAATCTGATATATGGTGAGCAACGCTCTACCCTGGGAACTGGGTCGCTTATGAAAGTGTTACTGGGGACTTCCCTTTCCAGTTCCCATGTTTGGAATTGGAATCTTCTACCAAAGTTGTGTCCCAAACGATGCAAACGCCAGCTTGGCTCCTGGGAATGTGTGATTCTCACTGACATGGAAATAAGATTAGTCAGCAGCAGTTGAATGCCTTCCTTTTATTAAAATGTTGAAGGAAGTTGCAGTGCTACATTCTGTCTTAAACAAAAAATGCAGTATAAAAATGCCTATTTATAATGAAAAACTTCAAATCTGTGGATGTGAGGCAGTCTTCTTCAAACAGTGATTTTTAGACTGCTGATTACAGTCTGCTGATTGTTAGGCCTAAGTCCTTTGTGTTGTGTTATTGGGGGAATGGCATGTGTGGCTTCACTCATCAGAATTACCAGAATAGTATTGGGAAAATAGCCTTTTCTTGGCCTTGTTTTGTGTATGTTATTGGCGCTTAATCATGGTCATATACTCTTTAATATCTTTAGTATCACGAAAGATGCAGATAACCCAGTACTTTCAAGGCTAATATAACTCGTGCTTTTATCACAGGGGGTTGGAGGAATTGTATCATGTGGTGTATCATCTTGTAATAAGCCCTTTGCTGCCTTATTGTTAGGCATATATTTCAGTGGAGTAGTGCTCTATAAATGAGAAATGCACAGCTCTCCTTTTTCTGTCTCCCATATAATTACAAAACGTTGTCTGAGCAAGAGTTTAAGCCCTATAATTGCTCTGAATTAGAGGTTGCTTATGGTATTCTTTTCTGAAGACATGTCATCAGAAAAGCAGTACAAGATGCGTTCTGAGGTTTTTATTATTCCTGCCTTAGTGGGTTTTTTTCCTCTGCTCTTCTCTTCCTTTCATCCTTTGCTGCTTCTTTTTTCAACCTTTCCCCCTTCCCTTTGTGGATTGTTATAATAATGCATATGGCTTTTGTCTGGTTTTTTTTCTGTCACCACCTTATTTCACAGATTCGCCACGCCATTTCTGGTGGTATCACTTAATCTGCTGGCTAATGAGCGCTGCTGGCATAATTTGCATCCTTGTTGCTCATGAACACTACACCGTGGATGTCATCATTGCTTACTATATCACCACGCGGCTTTTCTGGTGGTATCACTCAATGGCTAATGAAAAGGTGAGTGGCAAATACCTTTAGAATCAAAATTCATTCTTAATTTCAAAATAAAAATAGAAGTTCTATATTGAAGTTTAAACAGGGAAGTTGCAGTGCTACATTCTGTCTTAGGTATTTTTATACAGCGCTTTTTGTTTATTTATAATGAAAAACTTCAAATCTGTGGATGTGAGGCAGTCTTCTTCAAACAGTGATTTTTAGACTGCTGATTACAGTCTGCTGATTGTTAGGCCTAAGTCCTTTGTGTTGTGTTATTGGGGGAATGGCATGTGTGGCTCCACTCATCAGAATTACCAGAATAGTATTGGGAAAATAGCCTTTTTTTGGCCTTGTTTTGTGTATGTTATTGGCGCTTAATCATGGTCATATACTCTTTAATATCTTTAGTATCACGAAAGATGCAGATAACCCAGTACTTTCAAGGCTAATATAACTCGTGCTTTTATCACAGGGGGTTGGAGGAATTGTATCATGTGGTGTATCATCTTGTAATAAGCCCTTTGCTGCCTTATTGTTAGGCATATATTTCAGTGGAGTAGTGCTCTATAAATGAGAAATGCACAGCTCTCCTTTTTCTGTCTCCCATATAATTACAAAACGTTGTCTGAGCAAGAGTTTAAGCCCTATAATTGCTCTGAATTAGAGGTTGCTTATGGTATTCTTTTCTGAAGACATGTCATCAGAAAAGCAGTACAAGATGCGTTCTGAGGTTTTTATTATTCCTGCCTTAGTGGGTTTTTTTCCTCTGCTCTTGTCTTCCTTTCATCCTTTGCTGCTTCTTCACTTATTCCCCCGCACTCCAGCCTTTTTCCCCCAGAATAGTTATTTACATTTTTATCCTTGATGTGTCTGTCTTGCTCGGGGCTGTTTTCATCAACTTCTGGAGATGACTTGGCTCCTTATAATTTTTTTTTTTAATTGGTAGATAGAGATTTGTCTGAACTCTCCCCAAAACATTGGAGAGAGTTTACTGTTTTGACAATTTAGGTCCTCCTACAGTAACTATTTAGCACGGGCCTCTCAAACACTTGGGAAGGCTTGTTGAGATCAGTAGCTTTTCTGCTGGTGTTGTGTGAAAGTGCAGGCTGACCATGGCCCCACGAGGCAACGGCTGCCAAAACCTCCTGCTGCGAGTGAAATGAAGCCCGTGAGCCTGTCAGAAGTTATGAATGGTCACTGAAAAATGCCTTGGGTGTCACAATGCGGAAAGAAGGGCAGGGGAACTTTTCCACTGAAGTGGCTTAAATGCCTTTTGAAGAACGGCTTCGCCCCCGTTTGTTAATCTTTAATGAAAGGGGAGAAACTCACAAACTGTACTTCCTTGTACAGTGTATTCTGTTTCACAGAACAGAGGTGGTTTCATGCAAAGTACTTTAAAACCTAGGAATTAAAATAAGAGTGTATTTTCCTGTTTAAGCTGTGACCTCTGCTCAGGTCACATAAATTCTAGAGGTGTTACTGGAGTGTAAGTTTATTTGAGCATAGACTAAAAAGAATAGAGATTAATACACCCAAGTCAAATAATCAGTGTGTCATGCTTCAGTTCTGTCTCTTCCCCTGCACCCCAAACCCTAAAAATGATTTAACTGGAAATGTATTAATTTGACTAGAAAATGGGTGATGGTACTGTCAAACTGCAATCTCATGTTGTCTTCATTTTACACAGAACACCTCAGTAAGTTTGCATAATTCTTTTTTACTGTTGTTTTCTGTGTCAAAACAAGGTTCTTGTACCAGTGTGGTATAAATGAGTTATGTTTTAAAATTTAGTAGCCTTAATTACTCTTCCCCTGCACCCCACACCCTAAAAATGATTTAACTGGAAATGTATTAATTTGACTAGAAAATGGGTGATGGTACTGTCAAACTGCAATCTCACGTTGTCTTCATTTTACAAAGAACACCTCAGTAAGTTTGCATAATTCTTTTTTACTGTTGTTTTCTGTGTCAAAACAAGGTTCTTGTACCAGTGTGGTATAAATGAGTTATGTTTTAAAATTTAGTAGCCTTAATTAAATATATATATTTTTTTAATCTTTCCCCCCTCCCTTTGTGGATTGCTATAATAATGCATATGGCTTTTTTGTCTGTTTTTTTTTCCTGTCACCTCCTTATTTCACAGATTCGCCACGCCATTTCTGGTGGTATCACTTAATCTGCTGGCTAATGAGCGCTGCTGGCATAATTTGCATCCTTGTTGCTCATGAACACTACACCGTGGATGTCATCATTGCTTACTATATCACCACGCGGCTTTTCTGGTGGTATCACTCAATGGCTAATGAAAAGGTGAGTGGCAAATACCTTTAGAATCAAAATTCATTCTTAATTTCAAAATAAAAATAGAAGTTCTATATTGAAGTTTAAACAAATGGGACAAGGAATTTCACTTCACTGGTTGGTTGAAGTAAATACTTAATGGATTAAGATGTTCTTTTTTGATCTATGCCTGTTATTTCAAAATTTACTTTTTACAGTTATTTTTAAAATTCCTGATACTTTGGCTTAAAAACTTTTTTGAACGCTCAGGTTTTATTGCTGTAGTGAATGTATAGAAGAGCCCTTGTTTGTCTAAGCTTATGAATAAACAGTAGTTCAGTAATTTCTGACCAACCTAAATTACCTAGACCATCCTAAAATTTGAGTGACAGTTCTTCTGTAAGTGTTGCTAGAAGTAAATTGTTCGACTGTGTCTGCTGCAGGTGTTTCAAGAACACTTTCAAGTAAGAGCATAGCTCTCAAGCCCTTTTAATCTAGTTTTTCAACTATTAGTCCTCAATGGAAACATGACACGCCTGAAGGGGCTCATGTTCAAAGTCAGTGCTTCATCTCCCTGTATTTTGTACAGAAACAAAGCATCCCTTTGCATTAAATGGTCAGTTTGGAGTATAGATTTGGACTATGATGTATACACTCTCTCAGTAGTGGTTTTTTTTAGGCTAAATGCACCTTGTCTTTGCAGAAAGGCATGTCAATGTATTGCATTTTTGTACTTCTCTTGACTCAATGTAATCAATTATAATGCTTTAAACTGATTGTCTGTTTCCTTTTCCTCTTTACCTGCTTGTGCCAATGCAGACTTTAAAGGTCTCTTCGCAGACAAACTTTCTCTCTCGAGCCTGGTGGTATCCAATATTTTATTTCTTTGAGAAGAACGTGCAAGGCTCTGTTCCTTGTAGCTTTTCTTGGCCGATATCTTGGCCTCCCAGCTGCTTCAAGTCTTCATGCAAAAAGTATTCACGGGTTCAGAAGACAGGAGAGGACAATGAAAAATCTACCTGAAGAAAAGAAGGAAAGCATCTGCTCTGTGGTCTTGGTTTTTTTCTTTTTCTTTTTTTACCAAAACATTAATGCTGTAACCAAAGTTCTTAAGAGGACTACACTGTAACTGAAGAAGTGGACCAAGCTTCTGTGCAATTGATTGGAAAGACAATTATAGACACACGTATTGCCATTTCATATGTTTTTCTATCATCAGGCTGTACAGACCTATTCTACTCTTCAGTGCTCATGGAATGCACCACTGATGGGATTTATTTTCTTTTTTTATTAAAAGGAAAAAAAAAATGGAGCAGGACTTTGCTTTACTAATGAGATAGAGGTGCCAAAGACCACATTAACACTTTCATTACTAACTATCACTCATGCACAGGAGCACCCAAAAATCTCATCTTCAGAGTTCTGGAGTGCATAAGGGCAAAACCATGCTAAAATGTAAAGGCACGATATTGGCATATTGAGGTATATATAAAAAAAAAAAAATTGTGGGAAGTGGTTTGTTGCATTATTCTTGCTAATGAAGGTAAGGCCTTTGCGTGACTGGTACAGCTGGAAGTGAGACTTGACTTTTTTTACACTCTGTGGGTATGAATATCTTAAGGACCCTAAAATACTACTTGCCACCATTATCTCCCATATATTCTGCTATATACCAATTTTTACTTTTTTTATTAGTAATTTTATATTTAAACTGTTGTGCTACCTGATGACTTTGCAAATTAGGAATAGCTGCTAACATCAGAGCTCAAGGAGCCTAAAATTTTATTTTTAAAGAGACACAGTTTCAAAGTCTAAATCTTTAATTGCAGTTTGGCCTTGTGTATATAGCTATACAGTGCCTATTGGTGTATGTACATGCATATACAGACAAAAGCACACACTGCTCTTCAGTATGTGTTTAACTACACCAAACTACTTGCTGGAAAGAGTGATCATACAGTTCTTAATTCAGGCAAAAGTCCTTACAGATCTCACCTGCTTCAGGAATGCAAGGTCAGGTCCAAAATGGGGCTATATTTAAAATAAACTTTTAATTTTAGTAGCTATCTCTTGCTGAAACTATGTAGCAAGTTTGCTGGGGAGCCATAGTTCTGCATTGAAACGTTTTTTTTACTTGTTGGTACACATTTCTGTGACTTAAAAAAAAAAAAAAACAAACCCAAAAAGTGCCAAGGTGAATACCTTCAACAGTAGCATTTCTTCAATTATTACCTAAAACCATTTCATATTAAATGACACTGTGGTAAAACTCTCACATGCAGATTCCTCTGCTTTTTCAGTGTTTTGGTCCAATTAAAATGGCTATTAAAGAAAAATTGGCTGAGAATGGGGGGGAAATTACCATGGCAAACATGTAACAAAAACACAGTTCAACAGCTACCTGGTTCTGGTTGGTTTTCATTGTTTTGTGTTGTTGGGAAAGTAAAGTAGGAAATTAGCTTGCCGTGTTTAACCATTTATGTTCTGTATTAATTTCTGCAGTTAATTTTATTTTCAAACCTTCAGTAAAACCTGATAGCAAAGATAAAACTGCATTAAGTGTTCAAGTGATACTAATATAAAGGAAATGCTGCTTATTTTAAGAATGTCTTGAACTGAGTGACAAGTGTGAACACAGTTTAAACAATGACAACTTTTTTTTAAAAAAGTGCAGTTAAAGTTATAAAATGCAATACAGAGTATTCAAATACTTTTTTTCCAGTTAAGGGGATCAGTTGCTCAGAGTTGTACATGAAAATATTATTAATGTGCATTTCAAATATTTTTGTGCATTATCAAAGTAATACAATAAACAATGTTCCTTCCAATACCATCTTTGGTAAAACTTAGCTAAGAAAGAAACTGCTGATGTTTGGTTTTGTTATTTCAAATAAGCTTCTTAGAGTTTGATGCCCTGGCAGTTGCGTGTGGGCATACACATAGGTGTCTTCATTTGCTTGCAGACCTTGAGAGGCTAAAATGCCAGTCTCAAAACAGAATTCTTTTTTTTTTTTATCATATAGATGAATCTGTTCGATGTCAGTCTGCAGATCTCCCAAGGTACTTGTTATATCAATACCACTTCCTAGAACATAATATATTTTTTTTTTGAAGCTGAATTCTAAGCTTTGTGATATCTTAGATGCAGTCATCTTAAGTCACTTGGAGTTAAATGATCTTTTAGAAATTGTGAATGAATTTCATTTAGTGGTAACCATGCCTTGAAAATAACATGCTCAAAGGCTGTCCAGTAAGGAGCATAAACAGTGGTTTTCATCTGGTGGCTGAATAATAAATACTTTGATAGTCTAGCAAATTGTCTGCATAACCACCACCAAGTCTCAGTGGGATTTCTGTCGTACATCTGCAAACTAGAATTTCTTCATGCAGGATGAGGTGTTCGGTTTGTTGTTTTTTTTTTTTCACTTATTTCTAGAAGGAAAAGATATGGAAGTGGTGAAATAGAACCAAGCAAAGATTATGCTTTTGGTGGGCAGTGTGAGCTTTCATTCTGCTGAATTTTATAAACTTCTGTTGTAAAACAAAAGAAAGTTTAAATGGCAGCCTTAACTCAAAATACTTGATCCCTGTTTTGGCTTGGCCCTCCTGAAGTGCTTAAATTTTCACCATTGTATCAAAGACCTCAAGATGATGCGTGTGTTTAATTGGGAGAAACCCCCACTTTTCTACTATCTCAATAGCTTAAAATTGCTTTTGTGAACTTGGATGGCATGGTTGTATTTGAAGACTCGATAGGCCTATATGTAAGGTGATGAAAAGGGGTAAGTAATGGTATATGCAAAGTGTTTACTGCTATAGTAGTTTATCTAATACAAACCACAGAACCGAATCATCGTTGTATATAAATATTATGAAGCCAAAAACACGGTTTCATCCTAAGAGAAAAAAGGATTGCAGTGGGTAAAAAGAACAGGAGAAACTTGGACTTCACTTAAGCCTACAATCAAGTGATTAGTACCTTATTTGGGCTGTGTATGCCCAGTGGTTTGCAGTATCTCACTGTGATTATTCTTCCCTGGAGTTACAGTAATCTTTCTTACAGGTGTCACATGAGCTGCGCCTGTATTGTGACTATAAATAAAATGTTCCTTCTTTCTATTAAAGAGCATTTACATGTTGAACTTCTCAGACACCTTAAAAAAAAAAAAAGGCACTATACTTGTACACCTGGCATATTAGTATGACTTAAATGCTGTCGGGTGCTTTGCGTTTATGAAACAAGCTTTCTTAAATGCCTAATCTAAATTTACACCTGGATTTAAAAGGTTAACTCGACTAAGAGGTTAACCTTTAGAGACCTGCTGCTGTGTGATGCTTAATCCAATGCCAGAAATCTACTTGAAGCCACTGTAAATTGACATTTTTATGGTAGGTGCTTAGCACTCCCATGTGGATATAAATGGTACTAAATGTTAATTATTCACTGCTGTGTTCTTGGAAAGACAGCTACAAGTCGGGTAGCAGCAAAAAGAGCTTTGCTAAATGCTGCTATGAACTCTAGTACTGGATTTGCTTCCCTCCTTAAAATAAGAGGAGGGGAGAGGGTGGGGAAAAAAATGAAAGAAAAAAACAATCAAGACTGTATTTATATTTTAAGTTGCACTACCTTCATGTAATGCAGAAATAAAGCTCAGTAGCACAGACAGAACTGGGAAGTATTTTAAGAGATAAGAGAGAATTCTCTTAATTAGATTACTGCAAATCCACTTATCTGTATCTTAAATTGGAATCTGTTCAAACTCTGGCTTTCTCCCATGAGTAGCATCTGGCTAGACAATTTATCCTAGTTCTTTGGTACTAACCCAAATTAGTTTTTGCATTTTAGTAGATACAAAGTATGATTTGCAGTTCTAGAGATGAGATCTATTATATTCAGTGCAAGGTGAAGTCCTTCCATTTACTTGAAATGAACTTTCCCATAGCTTGTCAGGTTTTTTTAATTAAAAAAAAATAAATCTTAAAGATTCATGGGGTAATTCTGAAAACATGTCTAATCTGTCAGATGTACTGGAAGTATTTTTTCTTACTGGCAGACTTAACAGCTGTAAAACTCCATTGTCACTTTGATATTTTTGCAATATATGTTTTGGACTTACCTAGAAGTCTTCTTAAGCACATAAAATTAGAGCAGTACTGTAAGATTGAACACTTCTGAATTTAAGTGTTCTATATCAGGCATTGTAAAATCAATGTCTTAAATTCAGTTACTGAAAAAAGGGGTCTTAAAAATAAATACTTCTGTTGAACATCATTCTAATGAGTGTTGCTGCTTAAGTGCACATGAAAAATATATCCTTAGTGTGCCACTGAAGTAACTTATGTTAGCCTTCATATATACTTCATGGTGCTTCTAGTGTCTAACAAAAAAATATTGTGCTGAGAAACTGAGAATGGAGACAGGCTTTTGTTCTAGTACTTACAAGAAGAAGGAAAGAAGCAGCAGCCATTGAAGTAGATGGTGATCCTATATTGCTTCTTACATGACATTGGGCTACACCTAATTTTTAAATAATGTAGAATTAAATTGTTTATGTGTAACAGTGCTGCAAAAAAACCTATAAGGAAATAGGTTTCCTTAATTCTGCACTTAATTCTACAGAACAGGCACATGTCTTGTGCTGGTTCTCCTCTGTAACACAGAATATAAAAATAAACCTAAACTCAGAGATGCTTGGAGACTTTAAAATATTTAAATATGGTTAGCAAACTGTCATAAGCTCTTCCTCCAAGCTGTCACTAATAGTTTCTGTAACAAGAAGAAAGTGCTGTAATGCTTAAAGCATACTGAAGCTTTTCCTAGTGGGGTTAAGTTTCCATGGATGTAACCATGTGACTAAATCATACTAACCTAGAAAGAAGCACATAATTATTTCAGGCTAGATCCGGGTAACCTAAATATTGTAGGGAAAAGCTCTAGTTCTAAACTCATCTCTTATTTCAGTAATCATTCCTGACAAAACACTTAGAATGCCTGAATGATGTTTTAAGATGAAGTACTGATATTGTGCAGTTTCCAGTGTTTTATCTAAAATACTTGTTTTGAGGAGATCTCCTCTCCTGGTTAAAATTAGTGCTTAAAAACTCAGGAATTCCTATTTGACCTTGTTTTCAATGAAAATATTTTTAATTCCCAAGGACTTGGAGTTTAGCAAATATTATGAGAAGCTTGTTTTCTGTGGCTGTTTGCTGTGGGCTGACCTTTAACTTTAAAGATGCAACCTGTCCTCCCCCAGGTGGGAGAAAAGGGCAAACCAGCTCTTGCTGGAAGAAGCAGTTTGTCACTTTGAGTTCAAAGGATACTGGGTGGGTGCTCCAGGCAGCCTTCTCCATACTAGAGTGGAAAAGGGATGCTGTATTATACCATTGTATTTAATATTCACTCTTTTTCAAGTGATTCTGTATTGGTTGGCCCAGTCCTCCTTCCCCTAGATGAGTGAGTGGTTTTGTCCTTTACTTGCTGTACGGGTAGTCATAACCAGCTCTAGTTCTGGTAAATGTCAATGGAAAAAACGTAGATCCATTGTATACAGTGCCTGAGGTGTTTTTAAAGTCTCTACATGCGGGTTTCTTCTAGCAGAAATACTCTTTCCAGCTGTGCCTATATAATATTAATCTCAGCTTTTGTATTTGCCTTCTGCATAGTAAGGTCGTTAGGGGGTGTAGCATTTGTGCAACTGCAAAGACCAATCACAGAAAAATCTCCTTTGTGCCAATTGAGATGAATTTTTACAAAATAACTTTGCTGAAATGCGTTTGAAGGTTTAAAGGTGACTTGGCGCTTTTTTTTTTTTTTAATAATAGAAAAAGTGGTCAGAAACTATTCTGAAGAAAAGGTGCCTTGATCAGCTGGGGACCCAAGCACCGTGCAGGCACGTGTGTGTGGAGAAGGGTTTATCTTCTCTGGGAAGATAAACTAGGTTGTAATTACATAGTGGGTTGTGAGCCATCAATGCTTGTCCTTTTCAGCTCCTTTCAGACTGAGGGCACGGTACCAAAGGTGGCAATAAGCTGAAAAGCATAGTGAAGATCACTAGCAAATGAAAACTTATGAAAGGGCTGGAAAGGGAGCCATCAGAGAGCTGCATTCTGATCCAACAGGGGATATAATCTGGTATTCCTGCATGCGAGTTGCATTTAAAACGAGTGGGTCTGTTTGTTTTTAAATTATTATTGCTATTGTTTTTAATTGGAGGTGGTGGGAGTGCTGAGAATATCAAGAGGAAATTTATCTCCCTGCTTACTTCTGCCAGT